ATTTGAAGGAAAACATGAACGATAAGGACGAGCTTAAACATTTATCTCGAATACTCGTGTCACCTATCATTTCATTTTCCTTCAAAATCCCATCATGCTACAATTGTTCTTCTTCTCCCATAAAAGAAACAAAAGAAGCAAACGGGGTTTGGCTAGATTTTTGTCCTAAGAACCTCTCTCCTTCTCCAGTGACCTTGTACCTTGACTCCCCCTCGTCGGGACAAGTCCTTTCCCTGCACCTATTAATTGTAACCGAGAGAACTATGCCTATAACCATGATAGATAAAAATAAAAAAAAGGAGCGAGCTTGGTATGGAAAAGGGAGGGGCATGATGAAAGGGAGAGGATCCAAGGGTCATAAATGAAATAGGATAAAGGTTACATAATGAATGAGATTTTTTTTGGGGTTGCGAAAAAGGTGCAAGAAAAAACAAACAAAGGGTTAAGGGGAAACAAAACAACAAAAGGATGATTTCTTTCTTGTTTTTCAACGGAGTTAAGCAAAAAGAGGAAGAGATTGTTAGGATTTAAAGTTACTTTTAAGGTTTTAAGTTTCAGTTCTTTTTTTTTTTTTTGGAAAAAAAACTTACTATGTTATTTCTCTTCACTCAAACTTCGACCACTTTCTCTTTTTCATCGTGGGAAGGGAAAAGAGTTTAGCCTTAAGTTTTCCTCCTTGTGCACTATCCATTTCTATCCGTAGGAGCTTTAAAAAGTAAATATTTCTTTTTTATGACTTCCTTTTCTCTCTCTCTAAAACTTTTCTTAGGTTGAAAGGGTTAGGTGGAAAACAATTTTGACTCAAATTTTATAGGTGTATGAGGGAGGAAGATGAATTTTTAGAGGTTGAAATCCATATAAATCTCAAATAAGGGGTGGGGGAGCATTTTCTTTTCATTTATTCTATCGTTAGCAAAGCTTTTGCTTCTTTGTTTCAAAAGTGGAGTGAAGTATAGCTTCTTTTTTTTTAAAAAAAAAAATATTATCCTCACAATTATAGGGTCTCTTTAGTTAGTGATTAATGATAGGATTTGTTTTTTTACAATTGGGTCCCTAATGTCAATGAATTTGGGGGTGGAATTGAAAGAGTTTCAATCCAAAGGTTAGTTTTGGTCTTTTTATTCATTTTGATAGGTTTGTTTTAATTATTTTAATCTAAAATTTTTAGGGTTTGTTCATGTATTTATCATTAGCTTAGGTTTTAAATTTTGTAAGTTTTAGAGTTCATTTACTATTATATTGCAATTCATTTATTATTTTGCCACTAATTTAATTATTAATGTGAGTTTGTTTTGGAATTTAATTATTAGGTCGGGTGTCTAATTTTATTTTAATATGAAGTTTTTAGGGTTTGTTCATGTATTTATTCTTAGCTTAGGTTTTAAAGATTATAATTTTTGGAGTCTATTTACTATTATTCTTCAATTTATTTATTATTCTACCATTATTTTAATTGTTAATGTGAGTTTTTTTGGGAATTTAAATATTAGGTCCAATGTCTAATTTGATTTTAATCCATGGCTTAGGTTTTTTTAATTTTGTAATTTTAGGGGTCAATTTACTATTATTTTTTAAATTTATTTATTATTCCATCATTATTTTCATTATTAGGGGGGTTTGTGTCAAAATTTAATTATTTAGTCCAATGTCTAATTTCATTTAAATCTGAAATTTTTAGAAGATGTGAATGTATATATTAATATGTTGTTCGTTAATTTTTGTTGACTTTAAATTTCATTTGGTATTTATTTCGTTATTTCTTGTTATGTCTAGCTTATAATTTAACTTAATTCTTAATTATTTAAATCTTTTAAATTCATTTAGCAAGATATGAGATCGTCGAGTCTCTTAGGTTCTCTAGACCGATGATAATCTCATATCGAACTTAGTTTGCAATTAGACAAGAACATGTCTTCTTAGGGTAACTAGAAAAATTTAAGTCGACCCAACGATTCTCTTATAGAGACTAATGTTAGTCTCGATCCTCAATAAAAAATTATATATTAAAAAAGAAATAAAATAAGCTCGGATAAATACAAATTAGTTTAAACACTTTTAGTTAATAAGGTTGTTCCTCGATGTGTTGGTCATTTTATGACGTAATTGGATTCGATACTAAATTGATGTGACTCTCGATTTTGGAGTCCGATGTTAGTATAATAAGTTGCTACCATAAAAATTAAAAAAATTAATTTCATTTAGATAAATATAAATTAATTTTTATTCCTTCCTTAATCAAAATTACAACAACAACACCTATTTATTTGCTTAAAACATATAAAAGCATATAGAAGAACAAACTATCAAATACCCATTATTGTATACCCCTATCCCTATAAGTCGACAACTTTAAGTTCAATTCATTAATCAACCCAACCATTAGTTGAACTCGCTTGCTTCAAATTTTGCATCTCCATACTCATCTTTTGAAGATTCAAGAACTCCAACGAGTTTATTGGTTCATAAAATTCCATAAACTCACATCTTTTATGGTAAAAATATAGCCCTTTGGGTTTTCTTGGACTCTAAAATCTTCAAAAGTGTCTTGCGCTCACATTCATAATATTTGTTAATATATTTGATGTGTAATTCACTTGATCCTACTCTAGTACCAACGGAAGATTGAAGGGAAGAAGGTCAAATACTTAGCGAGTGATTACAAAGACAACCACCAACCCAAAAATGAAGAAATAGGTTGGTGTTTTATGGCTCTAGTGCAAAATAACACATTTTTGTTCAATATAACACACAAAAAATAGATTAGATATGAAGGGGAGGAAGAAGAGACAAGGTTTTCTTTAGTGTGCTAAACTGAAAAAAGTGAGAAATAAGTGTTTTTGTTTGTTTGTTTGTTCGGTGTGTTAACAATGGTGGGAATTTTGTGGGTTTTGGAGGAAAAAAAAAGAGTGAGAAAGGGGAGAGAGAGAGAAAAGAAGGGAAAAAAGAAAATGAGGGGAAAATAACGGTAATGGTTGTCCAATCATTTCACCCTCGATGCTTGTCACATGTGCTCGTAATTTGGTTAATAAGATCGATCGATTTGATTACAAATCAAAAAATAGTTTTTGTATCCAAATTTGAAAAATTGAATTTGGAGTACCAATTCACATTTTGATCAATAGTATTGAGTACTATATAATCAATTAGCCAAACCTATTTGATAGTGGAGATTTTTGTTCCTAAAAAAAAAAAAAAAGACATGCGAGAAAAAAAAATAAGGAATTTTTTTTTCAATATTTTTTTAAACATTTCGGAATTCATATCTTTATCCCATCTTTAAATTTAAATCATTTATTTTATAACATTTAATTTCCATAATTGGATTTGAAAACTCAAAAATATATATATAAAAACTTCATAAAAAAGGTTAAAAAGAGAGAAAAATAGAGTAGAGAGAGAAATTTTTGTCAGATAGAATCTGATTACAAAACTGGTCCATACTACATTAAAATAAAAGTTTTCATTGTAAAGAATTTGTAGATAATATATATATATATATATATATATATATATATATCAAGAAGCTTAATAGATAAATGGATTTCAAGGTTTAGATATAGGGTCTTGAGTGATTTTTTGTATTAATTTGTTGATTAAAGTTTTTTGAAGTTATATTAGCATTTAGTAGGTTGAGAGGGAGTGTTTTCATGTGTTTTTTTTTAAAAAAAAAGCTATAAATATGATTATTTGTGGTGGGTGGTGCTAAAGTCTTACTTGAAACCGAAGAGGCATGCCGAAGACTTTTTTCAGGGTTTAATGTTGAATAGGGTCGCCATCCAGGTGCACCGGGATTGACTCCAAGACCAGATTTGAATTTTTTTTTTTTTTTTTAAACCTAATCCCTTATATTTATTATTATTTTTTTGACGTATAGGATTTTTTTTTCAAATAGTAGTTGCATAACTAATTATATGATACAATTTTCTTTATCATTCCATGAAAATTGAAGAAAATTAATGAACCAAAATTAAATCATAATTTTTTTTGTATAATTTATACCAATCAAAAATTAATTATTCAAAATAAATCATAATTTATTTTAACAAATATTTTTTTAAGATTTACATAAAAATTTAAAATAATTATTAAAATAATAATTTATTTAACAATTATATTTTTTTCAAAATTTCCATAAAAATGAGAATAATTATTAAATTAATAATGTTTTTGGCATATTATTACTATTGAAAGTTATTAAACAAGTAAAATGTGCATAATATAGTAAAAAAAAATAAGAAGAAAAATTGTCTAATTTGTTTCAAATATGTTACATAAAAGATAAAACAATACAAAGGTAAAATATACCTTTTTACATTTTGAATCATTTGTTCACCATTAACTTAACAGATATGAAAACACATATTCTGTTTCGTATATACTTCCAAACACAATTGCATCTCTGTCCAATCTCCTTTTGTTTTCTGAATTAAAAGTTTAATATGTCTTGTTACTGTTTAAAATATCTTAATCATATTCTTATGCTAAAATTTTAGTTATTATGTCTTTTTATTTTTAGTTGTGTCTTCATTTATATCTTCGATTATTTTTTTAAACAACGAAGATAAATTTTTATTTTTTGTTTTGTTATTTTTATTTTTGTTACATAAAAAAGGATCAAATATAAATATAATTATGAGTAAAAGGATATAATAGTTGAAAAATTTAATAAAAAAACAAGATCGAGACATTTGAAATCGTAAATAGATATACTGAACCTTTATTTATTTATTTATTTTTTTGGTTCCAGAACAAGAACCAAAAGCTATCTAACAGCGAGAACAAATAAAGCAAATAGGTTTTGTGAAGTGATGTGATTAAACAAGTTGGAATAGTACGAGGATGGAAATGATTGTTAACCCTTATAAAGACAGGATGTGCCAAAAACATGATTAAGCTGCAGGTACGCCGTGTCCAGCCAGAGTCTGAAGTCTAAAGTCTAAACCCACAGATCCGGTGAAGAGAAGAAAACAGAAAAGAAAGCAAGCTTAAGACAGAAAAGCATGGGAGGCAGTGATGGGATCCTGGGGATCAATAGAGGGGAAAGCAATTGTAGTGAAAAATGGGTAAAGAGACGAGAGAGATGGTTAGTAATACTTGGTATAATCCTTCACGCAGTTTATATGCTAAGCATATTCGATATCTACTTCAAGACCCCAATTGTTCATGGCATGCATCCTGTCAAGCCTCGCTTCCAGGCCCCTGCTAAACGTCTCGTTCTCTTAGTTGGTAAAAAAAAGCAATTTATGTGTGTATATATATTGAAGAACTTTCATCTTTAGTTATATACTAATACAAATACTAATTTTGTCAGCGGATGGTTTACGAGCTGATAAGTTTTTTGAGCCAGATTCGGAGGGTAATCACAGAGCACCGTTTCTGAGAAATATAATTAAAAGCCGAGGTAGATGGGGTGTATCTCATGCTCGTCCTCCTACGGAATCAAGGCCAGGACACGTTTCTATAATTGCTGGTTTCTATGAGGATCCTAGTGCAGTCACAAAAGGTTGATTTTCTTACTTACTGTTTATCAATCGATCTCGTGTATTTGCTGCATTCCATTGATGATATGGTATTGTTTGCATTTGTACTTTGCAGGGTGGAAATCTAATCCAGTTGAATTTGATTCAGTCTTCAACCAAAGCACGCATACATTTGCTTATGGTAGCCCAGATATTGTTCCAATATTCTGTGGTGCCTTGCCACACAGCACATGGAAAAGCTATCCTCATGAATTTGAGGACTTCGCAACTGGTTCGTCTCAACCTCTAGTCTCTAGACACAAAATTAATCAATTAATTTATTAACTGAACTCTTAAATGGGAAATCTGTTCCTAAGGACTGCTCATTAAAAATACGAATCAAGCTGTTTATACCTTTCTGTAATATTTCTCAGTTTCGTCCAATGTTTTATCAATACAATAGTGTCAATGCAGATGCTTCCTTTTTGGATGAGTGGTCTTTTGATCAATTTCAGAGCCTTCTGAATAGGTCCACCGAAGACCCAGAGTTGAAGGAGTTACTTCTACAAGATAATCTTGTTATATTTCTGCATTTACTTGGCTGTGATTCGAATGGTCATGCCCATCGCCCCTATTCGTCTATTTATCTCAATAACGTCAAAATTGTGGACCACATCGCAGAACGTGTTTATGCCCTCCTTGAACATTACTACAAGGACAATCGCACAGCATATATATTCACAGCCGATCATGGAATGAGTGACAAAGGTTGAATACTGTTATGTATTTCCACTTGAGAATTTTCTGTTTCTTTGCCATTCATCAATTTCTCTGTTGTTTGACCATTTACATTGTGAATGATTGAGGATTTATTTGTATATGAATGAACTGAGCTGGTTTCCAATAACTTCACCAAGTTCATGTCTGGACCATAATTCAAACTGTAGCTTCCTAGGCCTAAATCAAACATAATTAAGATGCTTTCTGATATTCTGTCCAGACACGACCTTATAACCTTCAGTCGGACCAATTTTTCATCTCCAAGAATTCTGTGTAGGGAGTCCTTTCGAGTTACAGGTGCTGACATATTATGGTTCTACCCAGGTAGTCATGGAGATGGACATCCTTCCAATACAGATACCCCCCTTGTTGTCTGGGGGGCAGGTGTCAAATATCCCAAGCCAATCTCCAGTAGCAACAATTCTGATCATGGTTTTTTTGTTGATGCACATGCACATGACATGCCAACTCCTGTAGATTGGGGCTTGAATGGCATTGAAAGGGTGGATGTGAATCAAGCTGATATTGCAGCCCTCATGGTTTTACATTTTCCCCTTCAAAATGTTATGATTGAGCATTGTTTGATTCTTGATGTCTCCTTGGTTTTTACCTGTCTGATATTCTGATCATCTTTTATGCCAGTCAACTCTTCTTGGCCTGCCATGCCCTGTTAACTCAGTTGGAAATCTGCCGCTTGGTTATGTTGATATGATTGAGGTCAGCATGCCTTAAATGGGTTATGATGAAAAGAAGTCATTGTTATCTTAAGGTTGTTAGAATGTTACTTTTGTATTGTTTGCATTGTTGTATAGATTGAAACAACAGTGGCTGTTATAAGTTACATAAAGTGAAGGACGTTTTTTATTTGCTATAATTTCCAGGGAGAAGAATGCAGGATCATTTAGGAGAAGTTCAGTTATGAATTGAAATTGCAAATTAAATAGAACACTTTAAAAAATTGACATCTACTTCTAATATACAGGCTGAAGAAGTTGAAGCTGTTCTAGCTAATACAAAACAAATCCTCAACCAGTTTCTTCGCAAATCAAGTATCCTTTCTTTTATAAGTTTTACTTGTTAACATTACAACACAGTTACAAGCAGCCGTAAACATTATATCTTTCATTTCTTTCCAAAAAATCTAAAATTGTGGCTTTTGGTAATTAGGAGTGTGCAATTGTTTTTTTTTTTTTTTTTGTGTGGTTCGGTGTCATATAAATGAATGAGGAATGAAGAAAGGAAACAATGTGAATTAGTATTTGATTATTTAAGGATTTTATGTTTATTTAGATTTTTAGTATTATTTAGGAATATTAGTATTTATTATTTATTTGATAAAATAAGAATTCAGTAGATTTATTATTTTGGTAGGTTTTCCCTTTCAGATTAGGGTTTATTTTTTCTACTGTAATTGGGATTTACTTCTCCTATTTCTATTTGTTTAGATGCCAACAAATATGCACCCTACCTAGAAATTCAAGTGATGCTGTGAATACTGATGGATCAAATAAATGGAGGTTTTTTTTTTTTTTTTTTTTTTTTTGAATGGGTTCTCTTAAGTGGTTGTCCTTGTGTTCTGGTTCGCAGTTTTACATCAAAAGATGAATACAGAACTAACACTTGAAAGTAATTGACCCAATATTTCCCAAAATGTTTTGGTTTGGTTTTCAGTTACTGTCACACCAACCAAAATTTTGGATTTATTGTTGTGTCCCAAAATGGAGGTAGCTTAAGCTTGTTTTGAACCTTCTTTTCTGTTACCTGGATTTTGAACTTTAAAATTCAATGCATTGTCATGATGGTAATTAAATTGATGCTGGATAGCTTTTGGGGCTATTCTAGATCTGAGTTTGGAGGTTGTTTAGGGTTGTGTTAGAGTGGGTTTCCTACTGGGAATTGTAGAACTATTAGAGTCACACTGATAGGGTTTCTAGGAGTCACACCTAGAACATAGAAAAACCTAAGCTTCACATCTAGGGTTCTTAGGAGTCACACTTAAGGGAGATTGAGTCACACAATCAAAAACAAATTGCTTGAAATTATTTGATATTGTTGCATACTGAATATTGAAAGGCTACATACTGTATTTATAGAGTTGTAGAAGTCCAAATACTACTAGGACAAAAAATTCCTAAACCTATAAGATAACTATTCCTATTTTAGAATAGTAAAACCTAATAAAGCTAATTACTCCTTAGGACTAATAAAATACTAAATAGAGAATAAAACCTAGATTACAAATTTTCAGATTTTCCAGAAATTACAGAAATTCCTTTGCCTACAAAAAACACAAGTTTTGCTTCCTTTATTGTTTGCATCATTCTCCCCTAGTTGGAGAAAACTTGACCTTGAGTTTTGAAGTGTTGAAGTTGCAAAAACCACATGTTCCACACCTCATCCCATAGCCTGAAGCCACTCCCTTGAACTTGATACCAATTACCCTTTGCCATAAGTGAAAACAGTGAAGAAAGCGTGATGTCTTTCTGTATAACTAAATCACCAAACTTGGGTGGAAGAAGGAAGTCAATGTGATCGATTTGTACGATTTGCTCTTCTTGAGTATCCTTGATGTTGTTCTCTTGTTCCTTCATGATATCTACTGTCTTTTCGCATGTCAATAATTACTTCTTTGACCTCATCATTCAGTAGTTCCCTGAATTTCTTCCTACATGCTGATTTTCAGTTTCTATTTGCTGAACTTTCTCTTCTGACCTTCCAGCATCCCTTTGTACTGTTTTTATCTTCATTTCATGGCCCTAAGGTTGCTGGAATTGTTCTTCACATTGTTGTTCAGGTTGAATAGATGGCTGTGCAGGTTTTGCTGCCAATCGTGTAAACCTTTTTGCTTCCAAAAGTTGTTGATTTTCTCCTTGTTGCAGCTGTTGTTTCAAATTTTCCTCCCTTTGTTTTCTGAACTTCAATTCATTAAAAGCCAGTATGTAATTAGCATTTAAGAAGCTGATTTGCTGTACGTTGTAGGTATTCTCATGTATTCTTTGTTGATAACTAGATGGCAAAAATCTCTCTTCAAGTATAGCTTTCATCTCATCCCAAGTAGTAATGGATTGTTGTCTCCGTCTACCAATGTATTGCTCAACATGATACCACCAAATTTTAGCGAACCCGACTAGTTTCATCTTGGCAAACCTTACCAATTAAAGAAGGTTTCCATAGAACAAATCCAATCATTTAATAGTGTAGGATCTACCTTTCCTTTGAAATCAAGAACATCAACCTTTACTTTCTTTGTAATATCACCAGTAGTGTCTTATGGGTTGATTTGCTCCCTTCTTTGGATGGGCAACGCGGCTGGTTGATTACTTTGGGCAGCCACAACACCTTGAGTTTGTGAAAAAGAATTATCAGCTGTTGTGACAGCAAGTTGCTTACCTAGAAAAATTTTCAAAAGCCTTTCAATTGAAGCCTTGATTGCTGCAAATCTGGAATCATATTTGTCCTCTATTGCCGCAAGGCTAGAATCAATTTTTCCTTCAATATTATGCAACCTTTCGTCCGTCGATTTCTTGCTTGCTTCAACTTCTATCGCAAGGCTTCAAATTTTGTAGTAATTTCATTGACAGTCACCATTATTGAAGAATGCATCAAGAAAAACTTCTAGGATCTTGAAGCTTTGATACCAAATGATGCAGGATAGCTTTGGGGGTTGTTCTAGATCTGAGTTTCGAGGCTGTTTAGGGTTGTATTGGGTGGGTTGCTACTAGGAATTGTAGAACTATTAGTCACACTAATAGGGTTTCTAGGAGTCACACCTAGAAGATAGAAAAACCTAAGCTTCACACCTAGGGTTCTTAGGAGTCACAACTAAGGGAGATTGAGTCGCACAGTCTAAAGCAAATTGCTGGAAATGATTTGATATTATTGCATACTGAATATTGAAAGACTACATATTGTATTTATAGAGTTGTAGAAGTTCAAATACCACTAGGACAAAGATCCCTAAACCTGTAACATAACTATTCGTATTGAGAAAACGAAGACATATAACTATTCCTATTTTAGAATAGGAAAACCTAATAAAACTAATTACTCCTTAGGACTAATAAAATACAAAATAGAGAATAAAACCTAGATTGCAAATTTCCAGATTTTCCAGAAATTACAGAAATACCCTTCTCTGCTAAGAACACAAGTTTTGCTTCCTTTGTTGTCTGCATCATAAATGGCCTCACATCTCTTATTATTTTCTTTTTGATGGGACACAGCTTTGGCTTTTGAACTGAGTTTATTTCCTTCCTTTGTTGTATTGTTGCCATGTGCACACTTACTTTTCTAGTTTGTATATAGGAACACCTCTAATTACACAGCAGTACAACTTATAATAGATTGGGACCTAGTAATTTTTGTGCTCATGTCATTTTAGAGAAAATGTATTAGGAAAGAAACAAAAAAAAAAAAAAAGAAAGTAATTGGTTGATTCTGCTTCTCAGTTTGAATATTTAAAAACCAACTTGTTAGAAGTTTATTTGAATTAAATTTTGGTTCTTGTACTTTGGCCCTGAATTACTAAAATAACCAATCTGAAGTTTTAAATTTCAACTTTTGCTGAAACTTATTGAACAGTCCCCTGCGAAGCTACATAATCTGTGTTGTGCATAGTATCTTTAACATATTGTCCTTAGATGCTTGTGAAATTTTTTCCAATGGTGTAATTCAGTTTGCTATGGGCTTTCTTAACAAACTTAGAAATAAAACAATCAAACTCTTTATGTTTCAAGCCTTTTAAACCACTGGCTCATCATTTGGCTGCATTAGAACGCATCGAGTATCTAATAACTATCAAAGATTATGAAACTGCAATGATGCTGTCTCAAAACCTCAGAAGCTTGGCGCTGAAGGGACTTCATTATTTTCAAACCTATGATTGGCTTATGCTGATGACTGTAGTTACTCTTGGGTACGTTGGTTGGATGATCTGTCTTCTTCTCCATATTCTCCAATCTTACACTTCATTGGCAGGAGACATATTTAAGAATCGTCATGATGCATGGCAGAGAAATAATAAAACGAAGGTAATATCTAAATAACTTTAACCTCTTATAAATGGTATATTATATTAAAAGAATAAGAGAAATGATGAGGAATTCATGTTTCATTTATGTTGGCTCATTTATCAGTGCTAGTACAACTAGTTTCATCACTACATGGCTAGCAAAGGAAAGCTGATTGATTGATACCAATTGTTTTTCATCAAGAATGCAATAATCCTTTAACATTGGAGAACATTGGTTCTTGGTCATTTTTCAGCCTGTGTACCTGTAGATGGTGCTAGCTGAAAAATATTGTTTGGATGGTCACAAGCATTTCAGTGGAGAGAATGGAGGATATTGTTTTTCGTTAGCTTAATTCCTAGCAAGATGTAATCCTTTTACATTAATGCCAGCACAAAACTGAACAAGAGTGAAGAAATGCAGTCATCATTCGTCAGCCATCTTTTTTTGTCTTCCTGATCATTTTCTTTTTAAATTCAAATGTTCTAAAACTTTTGGAAATACTTTCTACTTCTTTTTTGTTGCATACTATGGTCTGCAAGTCTTAGTCCAACATGTGCTTTTTGTTGCATAATTCCATCTCCCTTCACGAAATTTCTAAAATTCTCACATTGAGAATTAGGGAATATGTTTCATTTTTCTCTAGATTATGTTGCATTACACACTATCATCCGCCTCCCCATCCTTTTAGTCTGATACATGATATTAATATATTAGTCGTCACAATTTTTCACCCACTTTTGTAGCTTTGTTTACACCTCAATTATAGCCTGTACAATTTCCCCTTTTCTTTGTGTTTGCAAAGCTCTCTAGTGGGATCTATTTGTGCTGAATGTTGGTTTATCTGTCACTAAGTTGTTTTGTTTCTTGAGATTATGCATTATGTTCTGACTTATCAATTTCTTTTTAGCAGGTATATCTGTTTGGATGTCTGTTGATGGGAGCGATATCTATTTTATTATTCATGGAACACTCTCCTCCCCTGTACCATGCATATTTTTCCATGACAGTGTTTCTGTGGACCCAGATAGTAGGTGAATATCAGTTTATAAAAGCTTTGTGCCGATGGTTAAGTGGGAGAAAATACAATTATATAATTAAGATTTTGGCTTCTTGTGCTGTATCAATACTCATCCTTGAATTCCTGGTAAGGGCATCATTTATGCTATTGCTTTTCTGACCAAGTTTAGTTTTCTGAGGGTACATTGTTTTTACTTTGTTCAGGTGAATAGTTTCACAGAGAGGAAGCTCTACACATGGTGTTTTTTGATTCTGGGGATTATAGCTGTTTTTTATCTTTTTCATACAATTCCCTGGAGATCTGGGATACCGATTTATGTGTGCTGTGCATGCTGGTTTCTGTCTGTTTTTACTTTGATGCCAGCTGAAATTCCTGATAATAATGGACTAGTGTAAGTCCTTTTGAGTTTGCTAATTTGGTTGGTTGGTTATGAAATCTTGCTTTTGTCAAAATGTTTTCAGTGGCAATATCAATAATCTCTGAGTCATAACTAAAATTTGTCTCCTTTGATTTGCTTGATGATTAATTATTGTAGTGGAAAAGAGGGGTGAGCTTCTAATGGATATGATGTAAAGTTCCTGCAATTCTGAGAAACAAATATTCTTATTGATTTCAAGCTTATAATTGAACAGAAATTCTTTATCGAAATTCTTATTCCAATCAACAATTCTGATCTTACTGTCAAAAGGGAAAAAAATTATCTCCACAGACTTCTGCCCAATATGTGTAATGCAAATGTATCAAACATGGCTTTTGATTGATTGTCTGTCTACAATGTGAGAAAAGTTTTAAAAATTGAAACATGTGAGAAAAATTGAAAAATGGTAAATCATTTTTTGTAGGGTTTATTACTTTCATTTGAGTTGGTCATGCTGCATGAATGTTAATTATTGTGTTTGTAGGATTGCGAGTGGAGCTATTATTGTCATTGTAGGAGCAGCTGCAAGGTGGTTAGATCAGCATTCTGAAGGGAATAAGTATTGGCTGCGCATCTGCTGCCACAAACTGGAGAAACCCAGTTCCCCAGTTCTATTTTGCTTGCAGGTATAACATGCCTTTACATTCTGTTTGAAACAGTTGTTCCATAATTCCATTGCCTAACATCTCTAAAAGTCATCTCATGTTTCACATGAAAATTAGGCTCTTTTGATTGGATTATCATCAGTGATGGTGGCACTATCAACATCTCACAGAACAGAGAAGCAAGAATTGCATGCTGTACACCAGTTAATAAATTGGTCTATTGCCGGTATACTTTTGACTCATATCTCCATTTCACTTGTGCTATTTAGCCTGTGTAAAGTTTCTTGAAAGTTTGTATGCAAAAGTTCCATTTTCTTTTATTGTTTTTAATTGATTTGATTTGATTTTTTTTTTTTTAAAAAAAAACACGATGTCCTTATTACAACTCAACTTCTACTAATTGTTATGGCATCTTCTTCTTTGAATATAAATTTATGTCTGTAACTCAAGCCTGTGTTTACTGAGGGAGAACCTTGTAGCACAGATCCAGTGTATTTTTATGTTATCTACATGTTATTTATGAGCATATGATCTACATTTGCTGGTGACAACTCATGTATAGGGAACAGCAAACACAACTTGTTTTCGTGTTTGATTGAAGACTTTTTGAACAGCTTTCTCTTTCTATTGCCTTGTATAAAGGCTGTGATGCCATACATAAACCATTTAAATGACATGTCATTTGTTACTTACCCCTTGGAACTGTGTTATTACAGGTTTCTCAATGGTTCTCCCACTTTTCTCAGAGAAGAGCCTCTTGTCACGGCTGAATTCTATATTTCTTGGTTTTGCACCCACATTCCTACTTCTATCTATTGGGTATCTCCATAGCTTTTAAGCCTCAATACTCATTTAGCACTCTTCTTGCATGCACAAAATTAAAATATACATTTATGATTTTCTTTCCCTGGTTGCGTTTTCGTGAAATCCATGCAGATATGAAGCTGTCTTTTATGGTGCACTAGCTCTTGTGCTTATGGCATGGATACTATTTGAGAATACAATTCTCCATTTGACGAAGGTCAAAAAATTGTCAGCTTCCTTGAAAAACACCAGAGAAAAAGCCATGCTTGAAAATGATGTTCGATACTTGCAGCTTTCTGACGTGAGAATTCCGCTAATTTTTGTAAGTCTTATCCCATTTCACCTTGATTTCCTCTTCCAAATTTCTTCCATAATTGGTATTGATATGGTGATTAAGCATGAAGTAGATATTCCAATTTATACATTCTGTATGGTATATGTCATATATGCTCATTGTGAATATCTTAAATCTTTATCATTCCTTGAATTATGTTTGTTTAAAGCAAAACCCTTTAACAATCAGTACACAAAAATTGAGATTTAGGTTGTGGGTTTAATTTAGAGTGGTGCAGAGTCTGTTGGAACATAGTAGATTAGTGACGCTGGAGCTTTCTTTAGAATTTATGTTACTCTATTTCTCATACTAGGGGTATTTAATTAATTTAGGTCATGTAGTTAGCATTTGACTTCTTAAATATTTTCCTTGAGTTTAAGTTGTTTTGCTTGTTGACCAAGTCTAGTGAATCCTTTTCCTGTTAGGATCTAGAACCTAAACTAGCATAAATAGGTCGATAGGGTCATTTTAACATCATCTTTTGTTTTTTTATCAAGTTATTTAGATTTTAGAGGTTTTTGGTGAACTCTAAACCTTGTTTATCTTGTCCTAACTTCAATATTATTCATCTTTTAGCCATTGCTTTCCTTTATTTGCTGTTTGGATTGTTTTCCTATTCCTGCACTACAACAAATTGGCAGCGAAGCAAAAATGGTTAATGCTTTCCTACATCCTTTTACTCTTTATTTTGTTTAAAAGGTCCCTTTACTATTTTTTGTCTTAATATCAACCCTGTACATTACGTTTAAATAGTTATACCCATTCAATCCTTAACCATGATAGGATGTGTTGTAGAAAGAGAGTTGAAATGTAGCAAGCATGATGAGATACTTTATTTGTTGGGAAAGAAATGGTTATGGGTTGGAATCCTTCATCAATCTATGATGAAGAAGATGTGGATTGGGATTATCCACCAATATTTGATGTTTACTTGGATGATGATCATCCAATGATGACAACACTAATAGTGATGTTGCCACTAGAATTCTAGAAGTTGAGTGCAAAGAGGACATTGCAGTTTTCAGCAAAAGAAATTTGTTGGTTTGCACTATGGTGATACTTATGATTACAAGTGTGATATTGTCCCAAAGGTAGAATCTTACAAACAATAAATGATTGCAACACATGTTGGCAAAACAAGTTTAAGCTTTGCAATTCATTACTCTGGAATTGATAGAAGAGAAATAAATTGCGAGCAAAAGTTTCTTATGCAATGGGTGAACTAAAGCTAATTTCTAGAACTATGGTACACTTTAAGCAAAGAAAAGAGGGACTGGCGAGTCTTGACTGGACATCCACGAGATCAGGACAACAATGGTTTCGATTCAAAGCTGAGTTTCTTCTGATCTGTAGAGTATGATGCAAGAGCTTTCTATATACATATATTTCTCTGATATTAGGGTTATTTAATTAATTTAGGGTCTTGTGATTAGCATGTGACGTTCTTATTATTTTTCTTGGAGGTGAAGTTGTTTGCTTGGAGACCAAGACTGATGAATCCTTTTCTTGTAATGATCTAGGGGTTTAATTAGTTTACATTGCTGCTAGGGTTATTTTTTAAGATATTCTATGTTATTTTATCAGTTTATCTAGATTTTAGAGGTTTCTTGGTGGACCCTAAACCTTATTATCATGTTTCAACTTCAATATTCTTTATGTTTTAGTCTTTCTTTTACTGTATTTGCTGTTTTGGATTGTTGTCCTCTAGACTACATCAATTAAAAATTTAGGGGAGTTTCCTCCATGGTTTGTTTTTGGCATGTTAAAAGAAAACAGTGTCTGATGGCAGAAAGCTGAGAGGCATAACATAAAGAAAAGAAAGAGAGGAGGTTACTGTGCCTTTGTTAAAGAAAATGTGAAATGGTTTTAAGTCTTCTGATTTGTCATGAATGTGAATAACTTAACTGTGATATTTTCTTCATTGAGAAACTTTGTTGTTGTACTAGTTGATAATCTAAGCAGTAGTGAAATTTATATGGCCCTGATGGTTTGTACTGATAATTTCTTCATTGAGAAACTTTGTTGTTGTACTAGTTGATAATCTAAGTAGTAGTGAAATTTATATGGCCCTGATGGTTTGTACTTTTCAGCTGGTCTTATTTAATGTTGCTTTCTTTGGGACTGGGAATTTTGCAAGTATTGCAAGTTTTGAGATTTCATCAGTATATCGATTTATCACTGTCTTCAGTGTAAGTGAAGTTCAACTTCAAACTCTAAAAGTCCATGTTGGTTTCCAGTTTAAGTTTAAAATTGGTTATTGAATTGATATGATTTCCTTTTGATTGCAGCCTTTTTTGATGGCTGCACTTCTTATCTTCAAGCTATTCATACCATTTATGCTTGTCATGTAAGTTTTTTTAAATGCGTTCACTGTTCACAAGGTCTCAGTCATCTCATTGAAAACTCATTTTTGGATTTGTAATAGCATGCCTAAAAGATAACAATTCTGCAATAGCATCATCGTATACTGGGTCTTTTTTCCGGTGCAATTATGTGCATTCTATGCACTTCAAAATAGACAATCAAATCTTTATGGGATTCCGCTTCTCTTTTGATTATTATTTCTGCATGTTCTGAAATCAAATGCAGATGTGTATTCAGTGCAATAACCAAACTACTTCAAGTTCCACGGGTTGGATGCTATTTCCTTGTTATCCTATTTTCAGACGTGATGACCATCCACTTTTTCTTTCTGGTATGATAATCTTACTCTCTTTAAATGACATTGTATTATTTTTTTTAAAGCTGTCCTTATACAATCCACCATCCCTCCCCCCAACCACAAAATGTCATCCTTATACTGCATGATTTGTTGGTAATGGAGTCCTGTCAGTCATGTCTGTAATGGTGTGGACCTGTCCCAGCGTTTGGTTCCTGTCCGAGGACATAAGGGACAGGGATGTGTGGGACAGGAACTTGTTTGGTTGGGACCAATTTTTTCATGTCTTGAGGACAGTTTAACTGGAAATTTCCTATAATGTCCCTGTAAACATTTCATAATATCCATCTCTACCCATCCTCAAATCTGAACCATTTATTATACACGAGTTAATTCCCATCACTGGATTTGAAAACTCGAAGATCTAAAAGAAAAGAGCATAAATAGCAAAATCTGGGTTGGACATAATCCAGCCACAAAACTGGCCAATACTACCATCAAATGAAAGCTCTCATCTCAACAAATTCATAGATATGCTTTCATCAAGGAATTTAGGAGATATATGGATTTGAAGTTTTTGATCTAAAAACTTCTGAATTTTTGTCTTCTTTGGTTGTTTGAAAATGTGTTTTGAGGTTAGATTTGTATTAGGAGATTGATGCAAGTGTTGTAATATGTTTTTTCATTGAAAAATAACTCGAAATGCAAGTTCCATTTTTATTGGAAGCTGACAACATCCTAAATCCATCCCAATTACATATACATGAAACCCTCTAACCCCGATTCCTACCTAAGCTCCCTTGTTCTCCAACCCAACTCACCACAAATCCTTTGTTGGACACTAAACCAAATCTGTCCTCCATCAGATGGCATTAGGCAAAAAAATTGTATGTGGATGACACTAAGAAGAAAAGAAGAGTAGAGGTTCACGTTTAACCCAATGTAGTTATGGTCACATTGATGTTCCTTTCAAACTCACTGAAAAGATTACTTTATTGCAACTTGCTTGAAGACATACATACATGGCAGTTGTTATGAGTTTTTTCTTAATCTTTAATCTTTCGTAGAATTTCTTTGAACTTTATCGAGGGAAACACTTCATAAGAGTCAAATTTAAGCTGATTGGCGTTACTCATTGCTTTCTCAGAACCTTGCTGTTTCAGAGAATGGGGCATTAAGTAAACACAACCAACATGTTAAGTATCTTTCCAGGCAACTTACCAATTTATGTTTTTGATGAGAAACAGGTCAGAAATACAGGAAGCTGGATGGAAATTGGTAACAGCATCAGCCATTTTGGGATTGTGAGTGCCCAAGTTGTGTTTGTGCTGTTACTTTTTGCACTCACAAATACATACACAAAAGACATCCGAATTGGATCATCTGGCTCTTTGTCTCAGAAAGCCGCTTAATCCTCAAAGTGTTGATTAAGAAATCACAGTTCGCAACAAGATTTACTGCAAGGTGATTTCGTTGCGTTGGTATGGCAGCCTTAACGGAGTAAGAACAGCTACGCTGTTTCATTCTTTTTGGTCATTGATTCATCTAATTCTAGTGCTTGTTGTGCATGCATATGAGCTATTGACCTCCGGGGGATTTTCCAAGTTCCTTCCAATAACATTATACTACATTAAAGCTGAATTTTGACATGGGTTTTACCTAGGCAGATGAATTTACCGTCATCCAGTTGCACTGATTTTAAACTTTGAGGATTATGCCAGTGATGAATTCTTGAACGACTACTTTAGACGCTATATTTATTTGCCTTGTGTAGTTGGAAAGTTGAAACAGTAACATTGTCAATATTTTTCTTTCGCATTTTTCATTGTAAGAAACCGTCTTTGCTGGTGAATACTTGAAACAACCAACGGGAACATTGTTTGGAAATCTTGCCTTGCAATAACTAATTGAACAAAAGCCAACTGTACTAACATGAACACTGAAAATCATTTTCCCACTGTAAATTACAGATCTATGAAATTCAGAAATAAATAAAGCAGATAGGGATTGTGCAACTCTTTGGCTGTCCTATAACTCTTCTCTAAGGGGTGAGCACGATTTTAATAGAAAAATTGAATCAAACCAAATGAAATATCAATTTTGGTTTGGTTTTGAATTATATATATTTTTTAAAAAAAATAAAAACAAATTGAAACTTTTCTTGTGCTTTGGTTTTATAAAATTTGTGTGTGGTTTAAACCAAAAATTTAATTTTGCATGCGCTTGCTGGCACAATCCCCTGATGTTCCACTGTTCAGACTCTCTCTCTCTCTCTGTTTTTGTACTCCTAGCACAGTACCTTGATGGTCCACTGTCCAGACCCTCTCTCTCTCTTTCTCTCTCAATTTTAGTATCAATCGTCATGACATTGTCATCGTCCATCGTCCAGACTTTCTCTCTCTCTCTCAAATCAAGGAATCAGAACCTCACTCATCAGACATCGATCATCGTTCATCCTTCTCCTAGCCTTCAACCATCGGACTTTCAGTAGCCTCTAGTTTCAATTCCAGTTCAACATTCTAGTTTCCACAAATCATGGTTAGTTTTTGTAAATGTTACCATGATTGATGAATTTAATTTGCATGCTCATTTGATCATTTAGGTTTTTTTTTTTTAATTAAATTATTTATTTATTTATTTGCGTTAGTGGGTCAAAGACATGGTTGTGTAACTGTGTTATATAGGTTTCTATGATTGCCTTTCTTGTTTGAGCACTAATTTTCTGGTTTGCCTTGCCTATATTAATATGTTATCATTTTGAGAAATTATTTGATATTCTTGTTTCTCATTCACCAGTTTGGTCCAATAATATTTTACTAGTGATTATAAATTGTTGCTAGGATTTATTTATTTACTTAGTACTGTTCTGCTAGCCATAATCTTAGATTCAATAATTTGTTATGAACTTTGAATTTCAATTTGGTGTTTTAGTTTGAAACTAGCCGATTGCTCGCGCTATGTTGCGGATCCGGTGGAATCAAATCATTTTAAATTTTTTTAATTACAATTTTTTATTTAATTAATTTTTTCTAATATTTTTTTCTAATTTTTTTGCTTAAAAAAACACAAATCATTCTTTTACATGGATTGATTTTAAAATAAAAAAATTATAATAATTTTAACTAAAATATTAATCAAGAATTGAAAGAAAACCTTTAAAATATAATTTTCATAATATTGTATTTCAAAAAATAAAGTTATAATTAACAAATAAATTTTTACAAAAATTAACAAATGAAAAAAATTTCTCTTATTTAATTTTGATGAGAAGATTAATTTTTGAAATAATACGCACAATGATACGGATAGATAAAATAAAATTATTTCAAAATTTCATTATTTTTTCATTATAACTATTGTTTTTCGTATTTTTTTAATAAAATTTTTGCTTAAAAAACATGATTTATTCTTCTTTATTCAAGGATTCTTAAATAAAAAATTATAATAATTTAAACCTGAAATATTAATTAAGAATGTATCCAAAAAATAAATACTTAAAATTATTTTTTTATAAGAATGTATCTAAAAAATAATGTTATAATTAATGTATAGACTTACATAAAAATTAACCGGTGAAAAAATAAATTTAATGTAGGTGAGAAGATTTTTTTTCAAGTATATGCATTTGATACACACACACACACACACAAAATAATCAACAAAATTGGCATAAAAAACTATATTTGAATAATTGGTTGGTTCCTTTAAAAATTATTTTAACTATTTTATTTCAAATAAATTGGTTCTATAATGTTAAAAAAATATTCATAATAAATATTTTGTATTATATTGGAAGATGTATAGTTAATTTTTAATATAAAAATAAGAATAAAAATTAACTTGATGTAAATTTTTATAACAAATTAAAAAGATCAATTTTAAATAACAACGGTAGTATATATTTATTAAAAAATCTAAAAATATATCATATATATTATTTAATCGTCGGTTTATGTGAAAAAAATTAAATATTTTGAAAGATGTATAGTTACTTGTTAATATACAAATAAGAATAAAAGTTAACTTGATGTGAATTTTTATAATAAATTGAAACTATCAATTTTAAACAATAAGAATAGTATATATTTATTCTAAAATCTAAAAACATAACGTATATATATTTCATAATTGTCGGTTTATATGAAAAAAATAACGATTGATATTTATTTAAAAACTAATCAATAAAATTAGCATAAAAAATTATATTTGAATGATTGGTTTGTTCCTTTAAAAAATTATTTAATTATTTTATTTCAAATAAATTGGTTCTATAACATTAAAAAAATATTCATAGTAAATAATTTGTATTATGTTGGAAGATGTATAGTTAATTTTTAATATAAAATAAGAATAAAAATTAACTTGATGTGAATTTTTATAATAAATTGAAAAGAAAAATTTTAAACAATAAGAATAGTATATATTTATTATAAAATCTAAAAACATATCCTATATATTATATAATCGTCGAGTTTATGTGGAAAAAAGTAATTATGTTAGAAGATGTAAAGTTAATTTTTAATATAAAAATAAGAACAAAAGTTAACTTGATGTGAATTTTTATAATAAATTGAAAAGATCCATTTTAAACAATAAGAATAGTATATATTTATTTTAAAATCTAAAAATATATCGTATATATTATATAATCGTCAGTTTATATGAAAAAATAATGATTGATTTTTCAAAATTTTAACACCTAATTAAATAAAAATAAAAAAGAACATAAATTGATGGAAAAATCAAAGGAAAAACCCAAAAAAAAAAAAAAACATGTGTAGTACATCATCCAAGGGGTTAAAATTTTTATTTTAAAATTCTAGGGATCAAAATGAAGCAATTTAGAAATTACAAAAAAAAAAAAAAATGATGAATAGCGATTTGTGAGGGGGATAAACGAGTGAGTGAGAAGATTTTTTTTTTTCAAGTATATGCATTTGATCTATATATATAGTTATTTCCAAAATAATGAATAAAATTAACATAAAAAACTATATTTGAATAATTGGTTGGTTCCTTTAAAAATTTATCTTAATTATTTTGTTTCAAATAAATTGATTCTATAATGTTAAAAAAATATTCATAGTAAATAATTTGTATTATATTGGAAGGTGTATAGTTAATTTTTAATATAAACATTGAAATGAAAATTAACTTGATGTGAATTTTTATAATAAATTGAAAAGATCAATTTTAAACAATAACAATAGTATATATTTATTCTAAAATTTAAAAACATATTGTATATATTATATAATCGTCAGTTTATATGGAAAAAATAATTATGTTGGAAGATGTATAGCTAATTTTTAAAATAAAAATAAGAATAAAAGTTAACTTGATGTGAATTTTTATAATAAATTGAAAAGATCAATTTTAAAAAATAGGAATAGTATATATTTATTCTAAAATCTAAAAACATATCGTATATATTATATAATTGTCGGTTTATGTAAAAAAATAACGATTGATATTTATTTACAAAATAATCAAATAAAATTAGCATAAAAAACTATATTTGAATAATTGGTTGGTTCCTCTAAAATATTATTTTGATTATTTCATTTCAAATAAATTGGTTCTATAATGTTAAAAAAATATTTATAGTAAATAATTTGTATTATGTTGGAAGATGTATAGTTAATTTTTAATATAAAAATAAAAATAAAAATTAACTTGATGTGAATTTTTATAATAAATTGAAAAGATCAATTTTAAATAGTATGAATAGTATATATTTATTTTAAAATCTAAAAACATATCATATATATATATTATATAATCTTCGAGTTTATGTGGAAAAAAATAATTATGTTGGAAGATGTATAGTTAATTTTTAATATAAAAATAAGAATAAAAGTTAACTTGATGTGAATTTTTATAATAAATTGAAAAGATCAATTTTAAACAATAAAAATAGTGTATATTTATTCTAAAATCTAAAAATATATCGTATATATTATATAATCATCGGTTTATGTGAAAAAAATAACGATTGATTTTTTAAAATTTTAACACACACACACATATATATATATATATATATATATATATATATATATATATATATATATATATATATATATATATATATATATATATTGATGGAAAAAAAATCCAAAGAAAAAAAAACATTGAATCGACCAAGGGGTTAAAATTTTTATTTTAAAATTCTAGGGACTAAAATGAAATAATTTAAAAATTACAAAAAAAAAAATGAATAGTGATTTATGAGGGGATGAATAGTGAAACTCATTGTTTATAACTTCACATCTTTTAGATATATAGTAATATTTGGCGGTATGTATTGATCGATGTATTATGAACTTTAAACTATGTTTTTGTATCTTATGAGCTTCAAATATTTGGTAGTATGTATTGGCTAGTTTGTTATGAACTTTGAATTTGGTAT